TCACATTTACCTTGATCACACTCCAACAGTAAGTTTATTCAGGTACAGGTACACATACAGTTACATAGATTATCATACATAGCAGCATATGTGTAGAGAACCTGGGATAACACAAAAAAGTCAGACACAGTGACTTATTTCCATTGGGGTCCTATTATCCTATTATCCAGGATATCCCCCCCAAAAATCCTATTTCCCCATTGGAAATGTCACTTTTGACTTTTTTACTCTAGGTTCTCTACATATATCCTGCTATATATTTGTAACTGTATTTGTTTATAATAATAATAATAATTATTTACTACCAGTACATGTACAAGGTTTACCTGAAGTTTACCTGGAGAGAGTTCCGGGGGTCAACGCCCCCGCGGCCCGGTCTGTGACCAGGCCTCCTGGTGGATCAGAGCCTGATCAACTAGGCTGTTGCTGCTGGCTGCACGCAAACCAACGTACGAGCCACAGCCCGGCTGATCAGGAACTGACTTTAGGTGCTTGTCCAGTGCCAGCTTGAAGACTGCCAGGGGTCTGTTGGTAATCCCCCTTATGTATGCTGGGAGGCAGTTGAACAGTCTCGGGCCCCTGACACTTATTGTATGGTCTCTTAACGTGCTAGTGACACCCCTGCTTTTCATTGAGGGGATGGTGCATCGTCTGCCAAGTCTTTTGCTTTCGTAGTGAGTGATTTTCGTGTGCAAGTTCGGTACTAGTCCCTCTAGGATTTTCCAGGTGTATATAATCATGTATCTCTCCCTCCTGCATTCCAGGGAATACAGGTTTAGAAACCTCAAGCGCTCCCAGTAATTGAGGTGTTTTATCTCCGTTATGCGCGCCGTGAAAGTTCTCTGTACATTTTCTAGGTCGGCAATTTCACCTGCCTTGAAAGGTGCTGTTAGTGTGCAGCAATATTCCAGCCTAGATAGAACAAGTGACCTGAAGAGTGTCATCATGGGCTTGGCCTCCCTAGTTTTGAAGGTTCTCATTATCCATCCTGTCATTTTTCTAGCAGATGCGATTGATACAATGTTATGGCCCTTGAAGGCGAGATCCTCCGACATGATCACTCCCAGGTCTTTGACGTTGGTGTTTCGCTCTATTTTGTGGCCAGAATTTGTTTTGTACTCTGATGAAGATTTAATTTCCTCATGTTTACCATATCTGAGTAATTGAAATTTCTCATCGTTGAACTTCATATTGTTTTCTGCAGCCCACTGAAAAATTTGGTTGATGTCCGCCTGGAGCTTTGCAGTGTCTGCAATGGAAGACACTGTCATGCAGATTCGGGTGTCACTTGCAAAGGAAGACACGGTGCTGTGGCTGACACCCCTTGTCTATTCGGGTATGAGGACGAGAAACAAGATGGGAGCGAGACTGTGCCTTGTGGAACAGAGCTTTTCACCGTAGCTGCCTCGGACTTTACTCTGTTGACGACTACTCTCTGTGTTCTGTTAGTGAGGAAATTATAGATCCATCGACCGACTTTTCCTGTTATTCCTTTAGCACGCATTTTGTGCGCTATTACGCCATGGTCACACTTGTCGAAGGCTTTTGCAAAGTCTGTATATATTACATCTGCATTCTTTTTGTCTTCTAGTGCATTTAGGACCTTGTCGTAGTGATCCAATAGTTGAGACAGACAGGAGACCATAACTGACAGACCATAACAGACAGACCATAACTGACAGACCATAACAGACAGACCATAACTGACATACCATAACAGACAGACCATAACTGACATTTTCATGTGGGTTCGATAACGTGGATGGGGTAAAAACACTCACGTAGGCTGGTTAGTACGTATAATATACAACGGAAAGTATGGGAAGCACCATCAGCTGCCCTGCCTCTCTCTGCTCTCTATCTCAGACTGACCCACCAGTGCCTAGGGGATGAGCGGTGTTCAAAAACATGCTATGGTCAGCAGCAACGTGAATAACAGTCAGTGATTCACACAGACGGTTGGTAGTGAGTCATCTACTGGTAACTGGTACTACTGAGAACATCAACTATATAGAACGTCGCTTATTATGCTGAGCACTTCGGGCAAATTAGGCCCTTGTCCCAGGATGCGACCCACACCAGTCCACTAACACCCAGGTACCCTTTACATAGACAACCGGTGTAAAGAAACACGCCCAATGTTTCTACCCTCGCTGGGAATCGAACACAGACCCTCGCTGTGTGAAGCGAGAGCTTTAGCGGTCCGGCCACGGGGTACCTGAATAATCTTACACCTGCTCTATGTTAAGTCTCCTATAATAAACAGCTTATCTCAATATCTGTTATCAGAATTTTCACTGAATACATTTACAGTCAGGTCTAGAATAGTGCGAATTTCACCTTAGTGTGAAATTAATTAGTTGTAGTTTTTCCTCCCCAAAATTAATCAAATCATGCACAAACATGTTATCAGGCTTTTATATGCATGTAAAAAAAGGCTGTGCCTCACTTTACAGCAGTAGCCTGGAACCTAACCTGCTGTGCAAAGGGGCCCTAGAGTAGCCTGGAACCTAACCTGCTGTGCAAATGGGGCCCTAGAGTAGCCTGGAACCTAACCTGCTGTGTAAGTGGGGCCCTAGAGTAGCCTGGAACCTAACCTGCTGTGTAAGTGGGACCCTAGAGTAGCCTGGACCCTAACCTGCTGTGTAAGTGGGGCCCTAGAGTAGCCTGGAACCATTCATTTATTAGAGGTTCGCCGGTACTTCCGGCCCGGGTCTTCTCCATATGGTGACCCGGCTGTGGCCCCTGGTTGGGGTGTCGTTCATCCATCTTTCTTGGGCCCTCTAGGTGGAGGGTAACATCGTCATCTCTCTTGCGGCGACTCCCCGGAGGGGAGTGTCATCTCACTGGAACCTAACCTGCTGTGTAAGTGGGACCCTAGAGTAGCCTGGACCCTAACCTGCTGTGTAAGTGGGGCCCTAGAGTAGCCTGGAACCTAACCTGCTGTGTAAGTGGGGCCCTAGAGTAGCCTGGAACCTAACCTGCTGTGTAGGTGGGGCCCTAGAGTAGCCTGGAACCTAACCTGCTGTGTAAGTGGGGCCCTAGAGTAGCCTGGAACCTAACCTGCTGTGTAATGGGACCCTAGAGTAGCCTGGAACCTAACCTGCTGTGTAAGTGGGGCCCTAGAGTAGCCTGGAACCTAACCTGCTGTGTCAGTGGGGCCCTAGATTAGCCTGGAACCTAACCTGCTGTGTAGTGGGGCCCTAGAATTAGCCTGGAACCTAACCTGCTGTATAATCAGAGCATGCCAAATTTGACCCAAGGAAGGGGAGGTTAGTTCCTAATCCTTCAAACAGTCATTCTGCACCCTCCTCAATTCTCCCCCTTGAAGAATCTTTTATATTTAGGGGAAAGCACTAAACCCCTTTGGGTCATACAGTGCCGGGGAAGTGAGAGGCAATCAGGTTCAACGAAAAGGAGAACAAGTCAAATTCGTTGGATCAAGGTCCCAGGAACCTGCCCTGAGGTGCGTGTACTGTGTATTACAATCAAAACTAAGCACTAAACCCACAAGGGCCATACAGTGCTGGCAAGTGCTGTACAGATTATCACATTGTAGTACTGTCATTGAAACATTTGATACATCGTGTACGATGTATCAGATTTGTAACACTAATGATGTCTGATGCTTATGTCTAGGCCAGAGTAGAAACTGGACTAATTTTTCCACCTGTTGTCAAACTCCTCAGTACACACTGGGGCTACCTGGAGGGAGTTTGGGGTCAACACCTCGGCAGACTACGGACTTGTGACCAGGCCCTGGGTGATGAAACACGGGTTTAGATAACCCAGCAATGTTACTGTTGTGAACAGGTAATATGCTGATGTTTATGTCTGGAGAGGTAGTTCGCTAGTGTTCAACAGCCCCCGTCCCCGGTCTGTGAAGGCTCTTAGGTCAGTGTCCAGAGCACCCACCAGTCGGTCTAAACCCAGGTACCATTTTGATGGGAACATAGACAACAGGGTTGAAGAACAAGTCAATGTTTACTATCTGGCTGGGAATCGAACCCAGCCCGGCTGTCACCGTGTGAAGCTGATGAGCGTTAACCACTAGGCTCACAGTAGCCCGGCATTACAAACCATAGCCCGGCTGGTCGGAGCTTAGTATTACCCAGCGCCTTTTAAGTAGCCAGGGGTCTATTGGTAATCCCTAAGTAGTGGAGGCAGTTGAAGAGTCTTGGGCCCCTGACACTTACTGTGTTGTCTCATCATGCTAGTGGTGCCCCGGTTTTTCATAGGGGGATGTTGCATCTCCTGCCCAGTCTTTTGCTTTTGTAAGGAGTGATTTTTATGTGCAAATTTGGTACTAGTCTCTCTAGGATTTTCCACTGACAGTTGTTTATTACAACTTAATTTGAGTTCACTAATGGTAGGTTTAATAATGCTGTACACAAACGTTCGAGGGAATATCATGTATTACAATATTATCAAGGAAATCGTAATATATTAAAAGTGTTTTGGGTGTTATTTCTGTGTTTCAACAAGTACATTGAAATACAGAAATAAGTTACATTGTTTGACTTTATTGAGTCATCTTAGGTTAAATCTACATAGTGTGTGTTTTGATAGAATTCCATTGTTAGTTGCACACCCTGTTGGTGGTGTAACAACAGGTACTGTTTGTCAGTAAGGCAACTATTGGTGGAACAACAGGAACTCTGACATGCTAGTTCGACACTGTTTACTATGATACACTACATCAACTTACCTCCTCTTACACTTCTCCTCAAAGCCACATACACATTGTACAAGACCCAAACAGTTGTACCCCAAGCCACAGAAAACTGTACATACACTAAGTCCTCAACTTACGAACACATTGGGGACCTTTTATTTTGTGTATAATAGTGATTTAATAATGATATTATACACAATAATGATACACAATACACAAAATTCTCAATGTATTTGAGTTGATGACTTACTGTACTGGTACAACACTCACCTTTGTATCATCATGTACAAAATTAAGGGATCATGAAAAATAATAAATCTTGTAACTCATTTTGGTCCTTTATTCCATTAAAAAAAAATAATATTTATTATCAAAGGGACCACAGATGCAAGTATTTCATACAAACGTACAAGAATGATATAACCGAGACAGTATTGTATGTTGTTAAAGTCAACTCTGGCTTTAATAAATTTCGGGAATATGTGAAAAATCTGCTGGATCAACTGGTCGAGGGATAACGGACACACTCCACTAGTTCCATAATTGTCCATTATTGGTACGATCCCCATCAAAATTTCCATCTTTATCCACCACAACCCATCACCTTCTCCATCCCTATTTGTTCATAAATCAAGGCTTTATGTATGGTTTGTGCACAATAAGCCCCCTTATACAGCTCCTCTATAAAGTGTCATTACAAAGTTCAATGCTGAGTACTATGCAGCCTTTTCCATGTGCTAGTCAAGTTTACATGTACAGGTGTTCCTTGACTTACATTGGGGTTGTTCCAACGAACCCATCACGAGTCAAATGTGATGTGCTGAATAAACAAGTCAATAAATAACTTCTGCCACTGAATAAATAAAAAAATAATTACTGTAACTAATCAAATACCAGTATTGAAAGGTAAATAAATAGTACAAGTTAGGAACTTGCTGCCTTCATGCTGGGTAATTAAGTTTCATCTCCAAAGCAACTGTTCTTGCATCACTATCAAGTCACAATATCCTAAGTCAAGGAGCACCTTTACTGTACACATCTTTTCAAAGCATTTACACAAACTTGCACCATAATAGGAGCTTTAAAAGGGAGCTGACTAGGTTCAAAAGCTCCAATAAACCCACAGAAATATTGTAGAGTAAACCCTTGACTTTTACACAATTCAGGAGGACCCCAATGTGTTTAACATTCATAACACAAGAAGTCTTCAACTTACGAACATATTATGGTCCTTCTGTGTTGTGTACAATAATTTATAATATTATACACGATAATGATATAACAATGATAAACACAATACAGAAGCTTCTCAACATGTTTGTGAGTCAAGGACTTACAATATTCAGTCTTGTGACCCCCTTGGTTTCCTGCGATTATTTTAGCACTAACAACATACAAAGTGGTAACCCTGGAAGAATCCTTGACCTTCAAGCCCAATACCTCTGTCAGTCAGAGGTGCTAGATCCTAGGAACTGGAGATGCCTCTCATTCTTTGGATCAGATCTGATTACCTTGCAGTCTGCAGGTCCTGTATGACACCTCTCTCCCATCCCTACAGGTTTAATGTTTTTCCCAAGAATATACACACAACCCCATTCAGCAAAACATAAAAAACACATGCTTTGCTTTGCCTACTAGAAATCCAATGCTTTGCCGACTAGAAGCCCAAACAAAAACATATTCACCTTTTTCTGTGTCGTTAAATGTGGGTTATTCGTACATGTGTATATTACTTGTATGGTCAGTGTATGGCTCAAACAACTGTGTATAGTTCAAGCCTGCCAGGAAGCTGTTTACATACACAGTTTTAAGAGCAGGTACAGTAGGGCCCATCAGGCTAGGAGGGAGTGAATCTGGCAAGCAGCAAATTGAAAGGTGGGACCAGGAGGTATGACCCAACCCCTGCAACTACATATAGGTAAGTACTCTGTACGTATATAAATTATTCTCACCTACCCATTACACAATGAAAACACAAAAACAATGAAAACATCAACTCATTGATATTGAGTGACACAAACTGCAGCATTGTAGACATTGCAGTTTTTAGGCTAGGTAAGGTTTGATGAGGTTTTCCGAAAAGCTTTTCACTTGTTCGACACCTCGAACCTCGTGTTCAAGAAGGGGTAGTTTAATCACGTGGAAATCTTCATACAAATCGGCAATCTGAAATAAATGATACAATTTACATTCAACCTTTTATTTATAGCTAGATATACAAGGTAATATTTATGAAGGGATTCAGGGAAACAGGTTAGCTGGAGGTGGGAAATAAAGTGCTTGCACAATGAAGGATGGGTGAGGATGTTGTGGTTCTGTTGGTGGGAAGTACATTGCCTGCTCTCTGAAGGATGGCTGGTACTGTTGTTGGTAAGTACAGTGCCTGCACTCTGAAGGATAGCTGGTACTGCTCTTGGTAAGTACAGTGCCTGCACTCATCCTTCAGAGTGGCTATGTTGGGAAGTACAGTGCCTGCACTCTGAAGGATGGGAGGGGGATGTTGTGGCTCGGTTGCTGGGATGATGATAATTTTACGATCGTGTACATATTTATTAAAACAACTGGAAGATATAAAGTCCCTGGTTATGCTGAGCATTTTGGACAAACTGTACATAAAACATAAGACTAGGTGAACATAGTATCCCTGAATAACAAACAAAGGCACAATACACAACCCGCACATAGAAGAGAGGAGCTTACAACGACGTTTCGGTCCTACTTGGACCATTTACAAAGTCACACTAACCAGAAGTAGAGCAGGATGGCTATATATAGGCAGGAAGAGGTAGTGGTGATAGTAGTAGTAGTAGTAGTGGGGAACTGGCTCTTTCTCCTTAGTTCCCCACTACCACCACCACCACTACTACTACTACCACCACCACCACTACCTCTTCCTGCCTATATATAGCTGTCCTGCTCCACTTCTGGTTAGTGTGACTTTGTAAATGGTCCAAGTCAGACCGAAATGTCGTCGTAAGCTCCCCTCTTCTATGTGCGGGTTGTGTATAGTATCCCTGTGTAGGTGCTATGTATGTCATGGTAAATGGAACAAGGTAAGCAGAGTGAGGAGGGGTACCTTGGAATATATACCTGTGACTTCTGCAAACAGACATATACAATGTAATGAGGTTCTTTTCTGACAGTGTTTTGCTCATGCATTAGTCTTTTTCAAGTCACAATTCAAAAAAGCCCACTGTGTGTGAGTGGAATGTTGTCCATGAGGTCCAATGTGTGGGCAGAACATTGTCAATGAAGGATCTCGTTACACTGATGTTGTTTTTCACTATTTCTGTAAGGCTGTGACTGGTTCTCACATTTTTGGCCCAAGGCTGTCTACTGGAGGAGCTACAGGAGGGGCCTAAATATACAAAATCCTCTTCTTGTTGTTGCATGTTTTTCTTGGCTTTCAACTGAGTCATTGCTCATTTTAAAGTATTGTATGTACTGTGTATTTATTTTAATTTTTTATCCGTTTTCTTATACCTAAGTGTATTGAGCATTTAATGTATGGTAGTGTAAATATGTTATCAGGCATTTTTGATGCATTCCATAGTTAAAAAATGCTATTTTACACCCAGCAGGTGTAAAATAGCATTCGCAGACCTGGTCTCCAGGTGCACGTACAGCAAAGAGCATCTGTACTAGGCTCACCTGGTCAAGGTACTTGGCTTGGATACGGCATCGAGCAGAGCACATAGAGCACGGCTGTTCACCATCTTTTTGGAATAACAATTGATTGACAACTATGTTGTGTGTGTCAATTCCATATCGTGTGAGCTCTTGAACTAGTCGCTCGGTTTCATACAGGGATAAGAACTCGGCAATGCAAACGCAAACAAACGTTGTCTGGTCCTGAAAAAAGAAGAAAGCAAGGTTAGTCACATATTCAGAGCATATAAAGAGGGTCATTTAAATTACGTTAGCACACTTCAGGTAATGCAGCTACTGAATGAATAACGGTGAATGGTAAATGATATATACATGTATATATATATGTATATATAAACAAACTGCAGCAGGCCAGGACTCGACCCTGCCTCCAGAGACAGCACAAGCATGCATCACCTTACCACTATGCCACTGCATTGTGCTGTCTCTGGAGGCAGTACAAGGTTCACAGGGTCGAGTCCTGGCCTGCTGCAGTTTGGTAAATGAATGGAGACGAATGGTATTTGGGACCTGACGAGCTGTTGGAGTGTGAACAAGGTAATATTTAGCGAAGGGATTCAGGGAAACCGGTTATTTTTATATAGCCGGACTTGAGTCCTGGAAATGGGAAGTACATGTACAATGCCTGCACTTTAAAGGAGGGGTTCGGGATATTGGCAGTTTTGAGGGATATGCTGTGTATCTTATACGTATATGCTTCTAAACTGTTGTGTTCTGAGCACCTCTGCATAAACAGTGATTATGTGTGAGTGAGATGAAAGTGTTGAATGATGATGAAAGTATTTTCTTTTTGGGAATTTTTTTTTCTTTCTTTTGGGTCACCCTGCCTCAGTGGGAGACAGCTGACTTGTTAAAAATATATATATATATATTATATAATATATATATATATATATATATATATATATATATATATAATATATATATATATATATATATATATATATATACATTATTGCATGTACGTAATTTATTTAACACGCTGGTCATCTCTCACTGAAAAAAGAAGAAACACTTTCACCATCAATCATTCCATCACCATCTCATCAGAGCTGTATATATAGAGACATATACACGTTTCAAGAGGGTGTTTCTATTAGGCCGTGTGGTTAACGTTTAAGGAAATAAATGAATTTCGGTTTGTACACGTACCGGGTTTTTGAACTGCTCGTTGACTTTCTGTATGACTGGTAGGATGCCCTCTAGTTTACCAGACACCTCGTCAGCATTGAATTCCTGCATGCCAAGAAGACCAGCAACCTGAAATGCTTCACTCAATTAATTATAATCAGTGGTGCTACCTTTACAGATGGTTCCACCTACGATATTTCAACTTCATGATGGTGTGATAGCATCATCGTCAACATATCGTACAGTACTGAAAATTTATCGATATAAACTTGTATTCATTTATAAACCCCTCAATACAGTAAGTTCTCAACTTTTGAGCACATTGAGAATACTCTGTATTATTTGTATCATCGTTATTGTGTGTATTTATTATTGTGTGTTTTATTTTTAATAACACATTGGCTGTTTCCCACCACGGTAGGGTGGCCCAAAAAAGAAAAACTTTCATCATTATTCACTCCATCACTGTCTTGCCAGAGGCGTGCTTACACTACAGTTATAAAACTGCAACATTAACACCCCTCCTTCAGTGTGTGGACACTGTACTTCCCATCTCCAGGACTCAAGTCCAGCCTGTCGGTGTATCACCATTATTATACACAATACAGGTCCCCCAACATGTTCATAAGTTGAAGATTTCCTGTATTATGTTTATACACACTCAGGACCTACCTACCTCCAGGTAGGTAGGGAGGTCCCCAATGTGTTTGTAAGTTGACGACTTCTTGCATTTTGTTAGCACACTTCTGAAAAGATGGTGAATGTGCTTTCATCTTTGGGTGCCCCTGCCTGGGTGGGAGACAGCCACTGAGTTCGAAGAGGACAAGTCATTCCCTGAATGAAACTGCTTGGATTTCCTACTGTATTTCTGCAACACTGCAAGCTCCTTATGATGTGTTGCTTGCAACATGAAAGGCCTAGAGCTAGAAAGAATATTTTGTAAGCACAAGAATGTAAGCAAGTTACCTGGTTTACGAATGGACTAATTTGATTCTTGAGTCGTAATAACTTCCCTAATGACTTCTCAATCACTTGAGGAAATGACAGTAGACGCAGTGTGTGTCCAGTCGGAGCAGTGTCAAAGACCACAACACTGAAGTTCATACCCTGAACCAGCCTGAAACACAATCAACATTTTAGGACATAATTCAATATACAGGAAGTCCCTAACTTCCGAACACATTGGGGACCTTCTGTATTGTGTATAACACACAGTAATGATATAATAATATAGTATACAATACATTAGATTCTCAACATGTTTGTTGAGGACTTGCTGTACTATTCTTCCTCTGTAAGTCATCAGTGTTGTAAGAGGTGACTAAAATAACAGGAGCAAGGTGCTAGTAACTCCTCCTGTATAAATTACTGAATGTAAAAAGAGGAAAAACTTTTGTTTATCGGGTCACTGCCTTGGTGGGAGACAAACGGTGTGTTGAAATTTTTTTTGTCGTTTTTCTCACTCCTGAGTCAGAAAGTTCACTTGTCAGAGTGCAAAAAATTACGGTGGAACCTCGGTACTTGAACAATTCAGTATTCAAACGCTTTGTTCGGTACTCTACCAAATAAACACGACCTGCCAGAACTTCACTGTAAGTTATTTTGCACTTCTTTGCATTTTTTGACATTTTTTATATTGTATAAATAAGATCCATAGTGACTTAAGAGGGTTAGTGATAATAGCCAACCAAAAAGAAAATTGGGAAAAATTCATTCTGCACTTAAACAGCCTTCTGGAACCAATTAAGTTTGAGTGTTGAGGTTCCACTGTACTGTTATTTTCTGGCATAAAAGGCATCTCCCCCCCCCCCCCCCACAGAAAGTCTTGAAAAATCAGCCTGTGCCTTATATGCCCAAGGCCAGGGTCAAGGGCAGTGTTTGGGTTATGCTTTAGCATAAAGCAAGAGGGTAAATAGCCCTTGAATATGATTACTGATTTACTGGTAGGATACTTCTGTCGTGCACTTTATATGATGGAAAATATGGTAACAGTTTCCATTTGACACTCCTTTGGCAAGATGGTAGTACAGGGGAGGGCCCCACTTATACAAAATTACATCGCTCACATACCTAAAGTCAGTTTTATATGTTGGTCAGCAGGCCATCAGCAGCAACAGCCTGGTTGACTAGGCAAATGCCAGACAAACCTGGCTCTTGGCTAGGCTCTGGGAGTACAGTAAGTCCCAACTTACAAACATATACAACATTTTCTGTATGTGTATATCGTTATTATACACAATACAGAAGGTCCCCAACATGTGCATAAGTTGAAGACATCCTGTATTATGAATATTATACATAATTCAGAAGGTCCCCGATGTGTTTGTAAGTCAAGGACTTGCTGTACAAAGATTCTTGCAACTCATCAAAGGTATAACGTTACAGAATACTTAAGTTATAAAGATTAAATAGAATAGAGTATACTTCATAAAAGCTGGGCACAAACTTACTTCATAACTTCTGCATAGCTCATAGCTTCATCTATACCCGGGAAGGCCCCCAGTACCTCCTGCATGATGTCTCGACCCATGCGCATGGCATCGGATGCTCCTTCAAAATATTCGTCTGGAAGTTCTCCATACCCAATATTTGGGTCAATTTCCTGCAATACATAAAAATGACACAAACGTATGGGATCCAGAGTACAATATACAAACATGGGATGAAAACAGTTTCAAAACTGAAAAGCTGCCATTTTTACAACACTGGCTGGTGAAATGTTTCCTCGATAAAGATTCCCAAATGCTACACAAGTGTTTTATTCTTCAATACACAAATAACTCGCACACAGAAGAAAAAAAATTCATGACAGCGTTTCAGTCTGACTTGGACCCTTAAGAACTAGACATAGGTTAATGTAAGCATTCTTAAATGTACCAAAAGAGAGCTAAATGAACAATGGTACAATTTTAAAAGTATATATTAATACATTTGTACTTCAATGTGATTCAGTGATCTTCAGTTAAGTAGGATTTATTAAGCCTTGTTATGAACATAGTGACTTTTAAACAGACATTGCTGGCAAGTCTCCCCGTACAATAACCGTCAAACCTTACCATGGCATATAGGTTGTCAAACCCTTTGACTTTAATAGGAACCTTGGAGAACTTTTGGTCAAAGGCGTCGGAGATGTTGTGAGCAGGATCCGTAGAGATGATGAGGACCGACTCCCGGATTTTGGCTAACTGCACTGCCAGACTACAGCTGTAATTATTATTAACATTATTAAAAAAAGGAAACGGAGGAAGTCGTCGACTCTAAGGTAACGTTTTATGACGAGAACTCGTAACGCCCCCAATAATAACAATTATGATAACCCGTCAATTAATAATAACATCAACAGTAAACATGATAAGAATTATATCTCATTATTTTTTTTTTCAACAAGTCGGCCGTCTCCCACCGAGGCAGAGTGACCCAAAAAAAGAAAATCCCCAAAAAGAAAATACTTTCATCATCATTCAACACTTTCACCTCGCACATTATCACTGTTTTTGCAGAGGTGCTCAGAATACAACAGTTTAGAAGCATATACTTATAAAGATACACACCATATGTTGTGATATTATTATTATATTTAATTTTATTATATTTTAATCATTACTTTTAGTAAAATCATTATTTATAATTATTATTATGATCATTACTATATTAGAAATATTTTATTATAATTTTTATATAATCATTATCACTTTATCATCAATACTATTATTTTATAATCAAGGTAAGCACAACACCCATGTGGGCCTAAGTGCCAGTGTTAGTCAATAAAGCCTTTGATCTGAGGAACGGGAGGGGCTCCAACTCCTCAACTCAAGATCCCTAACATAAAAAGCCCAGCAATAAGCCCAACATTACAATAATAATTAACATACCTGGTAGTGGTCTTACCAACATAATTATAATTATTATTATTATTATTATAATGTTGGTAAGACCACTACAAGGTATGTTATTATTATTATTATTATTGTAATGTTGGTGAGACCACTACCAGGTACGTTATTATTATTATTGTAATGTTGGTAAGACCACTACCAGGTATGTTATTATTATTATTATTATTATTATTATTATTATTATTATTATAAATGTACCTGATAGTGGTCTTACCAACATTACAATAATAATAATAATAACGTAAGACACATATGCAACAGTTAGGCAACTTTATTCCGAAACGTTTTGCCTACACAGAAGGCTTCTTCAGTCGAATACAGAAAGTAGGCAGGAAGACGATGTAATCAGTCCATCAATCTTGAAGTCGTAGAATTTGAGGTTGTCAGTCCCTCAGCCTGGAGAAGTTCAGTTCCATAGTCAGGAACTATCTGAAGATCAAGCGACAGTGCGGAGACTTAAATACTGATTACATCGTCTTCCTGCCTACTTTCTGTATTCGACTGAAGAAGCCTACTGTGTAGGCGAAACGTTACGGAATAAAGTTGCCTAACTGTTGCATACATGTTTTACCTAACAACCTGTTGGTATTGTATACCATTTTGATGTTCAATAATAATAACGTACCTGGTAGTAGTCTTACCATCATTACATTAATAATAATAATAATAATAATAATAACATACCTGGTAGTAGTCTTACCATCATTACATTAATAATAATAATAATAATAACGTACCTGGTAGTGGTCTTACCAACACCTCCTTTACCTCCCACAATAATAATAATAATAATAATAATAATAATAATAATAATAATAACGTACCTGGTAGTGGTCTTACCAACACCTCCTTTACCTCCCACAATAATAAAATAATAATAACGTACCTGGTAGTGGTCTTACCAACACCTCCTTTACCTCCCACAATAATAATAATAATAATAATAATAATAATAACGTACCTGGTAGTGGTCTTACCAACACCTCCTTTACCTCCCACAATAATAATAATAATAATAATAACGTACCTGGTAGTGGTCTTACCAACACCTCCTTTACCTCCCACAATAATAATAATAATAATAATAATAACGTACCTGGTAGTGGTCTTACCAACACCTCCTTTACCTCCCACAATAATAATAATAATAATAATAATAATAATAATAACATACCTGGTAGTGGTCTTACCAACACCTCCTTTACCTCCCACAATAATAATAATAATAATAATATAATAATAACGTACCTGGTAGTGGTCTTACCAACACCTCCTTTACCTCCCACAATAATAATAATAATAATAATAATAATAACGTACCTGGTAGTGGTCTTACCAACACCTCCTTTACCTCCCACAATAATAATAATAATAATAATAATAATAATAATAATAATAATAATAATAACGTACCTGGTAGTGGTCTTACCAACACCTCCTTTACCTCCCACAATAATAATAATAATAATAATAATAATAACGTACCTGGTAGTGGTCTTACCAACACCTCCTTTACCTCCCACAATAATAATAATAATAATAATAATAATAATAATAATAACGTACCTGGTAGTGGTCTTACCAACACCTCCTTTACCTCCCACAATAATAATAATAATAATAATAATAATAATAATAATAATAATAATAATAATAATAATAATAATAATAACGTACCTGGTAGTGGTCTTACCAACACCTCCTTTACCTCCCACAATAATAATAATAATAATAATAATAATTAATAATAATAATAATAATAATAATAACGTACCTGGTAGTGGTCTTACCAACACCTCCTTTACCTCCCACAATAATAATAATAATAATAATAATAATAATAATAATAATAATAATAATAATAATAACGTACCTGGTAGTGGTCTTACCAACACCTCCTTTACCTCCCACAATAATAATAATAATAATAATAATAATAACGTACCTGGTAGTGGTCTTACCAACACCTCCTTTACCTCCCACAATAATAATAATAATAATAATAATAACGTACCTGGTAGTGGTCTTACCAACACCTCCTTTACCTCCCACAATAATAATAATAATAATAATAATAATAATAATAATAACGTACCTGGTAGTGGTCTTACCAACACCTCCTTTACCTCCCACAATAATAATAATAATAATAATAATAATAATAATAATAATAATAACGTACCTGGTAGTGGTCTTACCAACACCTCCTTTACCTCCCACAAACACCCATTTTAAGGTGTGTTGCTCCACTATATTGTTGAGTGAAGGTTGTAATGGTTGGAGGTGCACTTGTTCACTCATGTTTGTAGGTCACAACACACACACTAACACCACAATATAATGTTAAATATCACACTAACACCACAATATAATGTTAAATATGACACTAACAACTCTCTCCTCCCTCACTCATCTCATCAACACTACCTACCTAACTTTATTTACATTATTTTAGTAACTAGACTAACAACAAATTTGGCAAATTAATTACTAAATTTTATCTAACAATAATAATATTATTAGTAAAATAATATTAAAACTTATTTATAAGTAATATTTGACTTATTGTAACTACGACCCTATGAATATTTATTTTATTAAATCAGGTTTAAAATATTTTTTCCATAAAAATATACAAATTTTGGTTAACAGAATAACATTAGCATCATAATAAAACACATGAACAACAAAATTTTATCTAACAATAATAATACTATTATTAAAATAATAATTTATAAGTATTATATGACTTACTGTGAGACAAATACGAACCTAAGAATATTTACATTATATCAACATTAAATTAATTTTTATCAGATACATAGTTTGCCAATTTTCGTTAATAATAATCAAATATTAAAATACTGTAATGACAGAAAAATATAATAATTAATATTTGTTGCATTGTATGATAAATAGGAGCCTAACAGTATTTACATAATTAAATCGTTCAAAATATTTTTTTTCTATAAAAATATACAAATTTTGGTTAAAATAATTTTAACATCACAGTCAAACATGAGAATAAACAAGAACAATACATGAATAACACTTGGAACATATACAAGTTATATGCAGCTCTGTATAGCCCTTGTGGTTTAGCGCTTCTTTTTGATTATAATAATAATAAAAGTTAATTGACAAGAGAATTTTAGTTGGTGTAGGTTTGCCAGGACGGGTCCTGACCCGGGTCTTCTCCATGTGACCCAACAGTGACTCCCGAAAATGTGGTGGAGATTGTACACGTCATGTACCGTTTACTGTCCTATGGTCGGTGCAGTCCTATGGTCGGGGCAGTCCTATGGTTGGGGCAGTCCTATGGTCGGGGCAGTCCTATGGTTGGGGCAGTCCTATGGTAGGGGCAGTCCTATGGTCGGGGCAGTCCTATGGTCGGGGCAGTCCTATGGTAGGGGCAGTCCTATGGTTGGGGCAGTCCTATGGTCGGGGCAGTCCTATGGTTGGGGCAGTCCTATGGTCGGGGCAGTCCTATGGTCGGGGCAGTCCTATGGTTGGGCAGTCCTATGGTCGGGGCAGTAGTATGGTAGGGGCAGTCCTATGGTAGGGGCAGTCCTATGGTCGGGGCAGTCCTATGGTCGGGGCAGTCCTATGGTCGGGGCAGTCCTATGGTAGGGGCAGTCCTATGGTTGGGGCAGTCCTAGGTCGGGGCAGTAGTATGGTAGGGGCAGCCCTATGGTCGGGGCAGTAGTATGGTAGGGGCAGTCCTATGGTCGGGGCAGTCCTATGGTAGGGGCAGTCCTATGGTAGGGGCAGTCCTATGGTAGGGGCAGTCCTATGGTCGGGGCAGTCCTATGGTAGGGGCAGTCCTATGGTTGGGGCAGTCCTATGGTAGGGGCAGTCCTATGGTAGGGGCAGTCCTATGGTAGGGGCAGTCTATGGTAGGGGCAGTCCTATGGTTGGGGCAGTCTATGGTCGGGGCAGTAGTATGGTAGGGGCAGTCCTATGGTCGGGGCAGTAGTATGGTAGGGGCAGTCCTATGGTCAGGGCAGTCCATGGTAGGGGCAGTCCTATGGTAGGGGCAGTCCTATGGTAGGGGCAGTCCTATGGTTGGGGCAGTCCTATGGTCGGGGCAGTAGTATGGTAGGGGCAGTCCTATGGTAGGGGCAGTCCTATGGTCGGGGCAGTCCTATGGTCGGGGCAGTCCTATGGTAGGGGCAGTCCTATGGTAGGGGCAGTCCTATGGTAGGGGCAGTCCTATGGTAGGGGCAGTCCTACGGTCAGGGCAGTCCTATGGTCGGGCAGTCCTATGGTCAGGGCAGTCCTATGGTTGGGGCAGTCTTATGGTCGGGGCAGTCTTATAGTCGGGGCAGTCCTATGGTCGGGGCAGTCCTATGGTCGGGGCAGTCCTATGGTCAGGGCAGTCCTATGGTCGGGGCAGTCCTATGGTAGGGGCAGTCCTATGGTAGGGGCAGTCCTATGGTCGGGGCAGTCCTATGGTCGGGGCAGTCCTATGGTTGGGGCAGTCCTACGGTTGGGCAGTCCTACGGTCGGGGCAGTCTTATGGCCGGGGCAGTCCTATGGCAGGGGCAGTCCTATGGTCAGGGCAGTCCTATGGTAGGGGCAGTCCTATGGTAGAGGCAGTCCTATGGTTGGGGTAGCCCTGTGGTAGGGGCAGTCCTATGGTCGTTGTAGCCCTATGATAGTACCACTAGTAAGGTGTACTAGTATCATCTAGTAGTGATAGTACTACTAGTAAGGTGTACTAGTACCATCTAGTAGTGACAGTACTACTAGTAAGGTGTACTAATACCGTCTAGTAGTGATACTAGTAAGGTGTACTAGTATCATCTAGTAGTGATACTAGTAAGGTGTACTAGTGCCATCTAGTAGTGATACTAGTAAGGTGTACTAGCGCCATCTAGTAGTGATACTAGTAAGGTGTACTAGTACCATCTAGTGATAGTACTACTAGTAAGGTGTACTAGTACCATCTAGTGGTGATAGTACTACTAGTAAGGTGTACTAGTACCATCTAGTGGTGATAGTACTACTAGTAAGGTGTACTAGTACCATCTAGTGGTGATAGTACTACTAGTAAGGTGTACTAGTACCATCTAGTGGTGATAGTACTACTAGTAAGGTGTACTAGTACCATCTAGTGGTGACAGTACTAGTACCATCTAGTGGTGATAGTACTAGTACCATCTAGTGGTGATAGTACTACTAGTAAGGTGTACTAGTATCATCTAGTAGTGATAGTACTACTAGTAAGGTGTACTAGTATCATCTAGTGGTGATAGTACTACTAGTAAGGTGTACTAGTACCATCTAGTGGTGATAATACTACTAGTAAGGTGTACTAGTACCATCTAGTGGTGATAATACTACTAGTAAGGTGTACTAGTACCATCTAGTGGTGATAATACTACTAGTAAGGTGTACTAGTACCATCTAGTGGTCAGCCCTCCTGGCCCTATATCACTCTCTTATTTACCCCTATCTCACCTATGGAATTTGTGCATGGGGCTCAACAACAAGTAACCATCACAGACCACTAATTACCCAACAAAAGGCTGCAGTTAGAATGATAACAAATTCTCACTATAGGCAGCACACTCCACCAATATTCAATACACTAAACCTACTCACCATACAAAACATCCATACTTATTACTGCACCTATTACATACATAGAACACTTAACTCTGATATTAAACCCTCCCCTCAAACATCTCCTTGCCAACCTCAACAGAACACATGACCATAACACAAGGCACAGATCACTCTTTGATGTTCCTCGTGTCCATCTCACACTATGCAAAAACTCAATGCACATAAAAGGCCCTAAAATCTGGAATTCATTACCTGTAAATATAAAAGAAACACTACCTGTTTATAAATTCAAGTCTCTTCTCAAAGATTACTTACTCACCCAAAACCAAATAAATACTGAATAACTGAACCTTATAAATTGTATATCTTAAATGTTTCTCACAATTATATCACATAAATGTTAAACCTAAAACCCAATCTAACTATTATTTTTTAAATACACTACCTAACAGAATACTCCATTCTACTGAATGTACAACAATGCATACAACCATATGACCTGTCTTTGTAATACTCACTTGTGCTTTATAGTAATCTGTTTACATTAAAGTTTTATCACTGATGTCATCATTGCTTAGTTAATCTTAAGTTAATTTTAAGCCAGCCCGTAATGCTATGCATAGTATAAGTGGCTTTGGCATGCTGCTCTTATCTGTATTTTTTGTACCTCTGTATGTGTGCTCAAATTTTTAAATAAATAAATAAATAAATAAATAATACTACTAGTAAGGTGTACTAGTACCATCTAGTGGTGATAATACTACTAGTAAGGTGTACTAGTACCATCTAGTGATAATACTACTAGTAAGGTGTACTAGTACCATCTAGTGGTGATAATACTACTAGTAAGGTGTACTAGTGCTGTCAGCATAGTTGCTGATCCTTCTTTACATGTGTCGTATGCATAGATTAGATGAGCATTATAAGTGGCTTTGGTATGCTGCTCTTACCTGTATTTTTGTACCTCTGTATGTATGCTTAAATTACTAAATAAATAAAATAAATAAATAAATAGTACCATCCATGTGTTTATATAGAAGATCCCATAGGCCTGTGACTGTATGACGTCACGGGATGCTGCGAGCGAGTGGGACAGGCTACCTAGGCCTCAGACGACGCATAGGCATCATAGAAGGCAGGACAATATATAGTGTTACCATTCAACAAGTGAGTTTACCTTATCCATCAATCTCCTACCGAACCCCCACACGACAATTTGGTGGCAGTGGTGTGGGCGTAAAATTGATAATTACGCCGATGTACGGAGATTTCTTTCGATCAGCAAGACGGCCATTTCGTGTCGCCAGTAGGCCGACCTAACCAAGCTACTCTCTCAAGCGTCTACCAGCCTCTACAATATTCACTGGTCAGTCTCTTTGTATTAGTGTTTATCTGCTTATTTGCATGACTCCCGAGGGGTTGACCCGAGTTTGCAAAATAAGCCAGCAACCAGTCTGGTGAGGGAGTCGGTCCAGCCTAGCCTACTCCATCCAGCTTTGCCTGCCAAGCCAGCTTTCCACCCCTGCAGTGCTCATCGTTAGAAGTTATCAAGCTATTCTGTGTGAAGGGTTAAAATAAGCCAGCCTTCAACTAACCCAGGTGACTAACCCAAGTGACTAAACCAGTACTCAAGCAAACCACGTGGGTACAGTCTTCTCATCGGTTTATGCTTCAAGTTCTAGCCATTCTGAGTGCTTTTTCATCCCTGTGGTGTTGTGGTAATTCGTGGGTTTGTTTTTAAGCCAGTCGGCTTAGAAATATTTTCGCGCCAGTGTGGTTGTCCTCAGTGAGGCTTACGCCGTTCATCCCATAGGCCCAGTTACCACGCGGTCTCGGCCTTAGCCCTGTTTCAGCCCACACACCC